CATCCCTCTCCCGCAGGCGTCTATCGATCCTACGGGCGAGGGAAGCCAATTCTTCGAAGGATTTAGTTTCCTCGTGAAAAGCTAGTTGGTCTTTCATCTGGTCGGTTAGTGACCGTAAAAAACCCCCACGGAGGGCCGAATCGGGCCAACCCACGGCGACCGCTCTGGTACGGAACTCGACTAGGTACTCCGCGATACTGCGCCCCCCCTGACGGAGCCCCAGCAATTTCTGCGTGGCGTCATCCTCTGAGACCGGATGGGAGAACGTAGCCCGGAACTCCTCCAGGAAATCATCGTAATCGCAATCACGAATGGAGTGAGAGGTTAAGTAGGCCTCAGCCCACGCTAAAGCGCGTCCCCGTAACAAACCCACGAAATAGGAGATCTTAGCTGCATCCGTGGGGAAGGCGTGTGGCGTGCGGCTGAAGAACAAGGAGCATTGAAAGAGGAACCCCCCACACAGGTCTAATTCCCCGTGGAAGGGCTCCAAAGGCGGGGGCGAAACGCTGCGGAGCACGGGGTCAGGCGGCTTGGTTCGCAGCTGTTCCTGAGTGTCACTGAGCTCTTGGTAGCGGTCCTGGAGCGATTGGAGCTGCTGATCGTGGCGACCAAGAATAGCGCCCTGTTTATTAATGGCGGAGCGGAGTGGATCTGCTGGGTCCATACTGGCCAGTCCGTACTGTCATGAACCGAAGTTCCACGCACAAGTTGGACCCAGGAGCAGAACACACACACAGCGGTACGAGAGAACAAAAAGAAACTTTATTATAACTGAGGGTGTCCCGGGAGGGGAGAAGGAAAAAACGCACGGAACCAGAAAAACCGAGGGACCGGGAGGTGAATCACGCAGCAACGCCGAGAGCGGGACTGTGGGAGGGATGATAGCGGGGCCGAGGGAACCGGAGGGAGGGGTGAGGGTCCGTGGGGAGAAGTTTCAGAAAGGTCGAGGCGGCTGGGGCTGATCGTGATCCAAATTCCGGACAGGCAGGTGGACAGGCTGGTGGCTCAAACACGCCGAGCTGTGATCGCTGAAGGACGACTACGGACTGGCGTGAAGCAGCAGGCTTGGCAGGATTAAATAGTCCACCTGGTGATCGCCTGGGATGGGATGCAGGTGTGGAGTTAGCAGCCGCGCCCATGGGAGAGGGCATCCCATCAGCACCTCGGACGCCGGGCCGCGGCCCATGACATCCATCTCTTCCTCTGCATGTTCTGTTCTTCCTCAGAGTGTAAAGGAGAAGAGAAAGTGATCCAGGAACAAGGAGATGTCATTGCTGCTGAAGGAGACACAGTTACACTTGGATGTCAGTATGAGAGCAGTGTAACAAATAATTATCTCTTCTGGTACAAACAGGATGGAAACAACAGCCCCAAATTCATCCTGAGTCGTGTTAGTGGGGATGATGGAAACACAGCAGACGAGTTCAAGGAGAGATTTTCATCCACACTGGATTCCAGCATCAGATCAGTTCCTCTGAAGATCCAGAAGCTTCAGCTGTCTGACTCTGCTGTGTA